TAATGAGAAAATCTAAATATTGTTGGAAGCTACTTTACTGTTGTTCACAGATAATTTTAAAATTATCTAGATAAAAGATAAGATAACCATTTTATCTTGAAACAAAACAAATAATTATACTTTATACAGTTTTTAGATTTTTAAAAATTTAACATATTCAACTATATTGTATACATATATTTATAATATTACAATTAACATTATTTATTATTTTGTATAAAATACATTATGGATTTAATTAATAAAAAAAAAAGGAACATACAACACATAATATATTAGATAATWACTACGTTTTTATGATGGTGTTAAAATGGTTTACATTTTTAAACAGTTTTAACTTGTTTTGTTTCAAAATAAAATGGTTATCTTATCTTTTATCTAGATAATTTTAAAATTATCTGTGAACAACAGTAAAGTAGCTTCCAACAATATTTRGATTTTCTCATTACTTTACTTAATTATATACATACAAAAATTAACACAGAAATCTGAGCTTGGCACAAATTTCAAATTTGTCATTCATTTTGTAGATAACCTGTTTTTCTCACAGAATTGAAAATAATTTAATTTTTAGTTAAGTTAATTATTTTATCCATTAATTTTTAACTTAACAAAGTTATAAAAATACTTTAGTAAACTTCTAACTTAACTAATTTTTTCTTATTATTAACTTAACTTAATGAGTAAAAAAAAAATCGTTAACTTGTCCAACCTTGATAATCAATGCAGATAAATAAATCTAAAAAAATTAACAATTTTTTTTTTTGTTTTGAACATACTACTATATCAAAATTATGAAGTTCTGTGCCTTGTGAACTAACTGTGACAAATGTTTCATTGTTCGAAATTTAAAATATTAAAAAATTACAGATAAATGGAAAAATGAAGTAAAATTAATAAAAATGTTTTTGAATTATCTGCAGATAATCAGATAACAGTTTTATTAACCTAAATAAGATAAAAAGATAAATATTTTTACCAAGATAACGGACAACACAGCTTTCCCTTTATTTAACTGTTTTTAATGATGTCTTAGCATATAATATCAGAATATTAAAATATAGTTTATGGTTATCAGAACATAAACATTAAAAAAATACATAAATATATCATATTTTTTCGTCACCCCGTCATTTGATCTTTTTTTTTTTTGCCATTTTATATGACCTATTGAAATTCTGCCATTCAATATAAAGCTTAAATATCTTATGAAATATAAATTGAAAACTCAGTCACCAAAATAAAAAATATACATAATTGTTACATMAATTTAATTTATACAAATATACATACTTAATAAATCATCTCTATTTATAGAATCCAACTCAACAGGATGTGTACTTTTTGATTGGTATTTGGTAACTAAAAGTTTGTTGTTGTGCTTCTCTTTATTAATTTTATTATGTATTGAACCTGGACCAATATTAAAAGCTTCTGTGCATTTAGATCGCCACTGTTTCAACGTCATCAAATTATCGGAATCTTTAATTGTATACCAATGTGTGTCTCCCACTTGAATAGAACATGACTCGAATAAATCAATAGTTTTTAGTCTAAAAATATAAAAAAGTCATAACTATTAAATTATGTATAATATTGTACATCTTGCTGTATACCAAGAGATTGTAATACCATACTATGCACAGTTTAAAATTGTATGTTCACTTCATTAATTACTATAATTAAAAAGACGTATGGTTTGTCTCCGTTTTACATGTGCATAACATCGCAAAAACGGATTAGTGCGGGATAGAACCACTCAGTCGGTAGTCTTAGTAGAAACACCAAAAGTTAGTACAATATAGAAGATATTATCTTCTGTGTTGTAGGGTTTTTATTTGTTTGATACCTTTAATGAGAAAAAAATTATAATATTTTTGAAATTCTGACAATTTTAGGTTTTTCAAAATTCAATAACTTTTGATATATTGGTCTTAATGAAAAAATAAAAACGCTGTGACAGTTTAAATTCTCCTTTTAACATGAAAATTTGATTTCTTAATTATAACTGTAGATTTCTTGGTTCTTTCCCACGCAAAATACTTTTTACTATGTTATGCACTTGTAAGACGAAGACAACACATACAGGTATCACATCCTCTTAAAAAGATAATGATAATAACAGTAATTTACAAAACTGATTCTGAACCAAACATTTATATTAAATAAAAATAACTAGAACTGATATTAGGTAAACATTTTCTCTCCATACCAAGTGTTGATGAAATATTCATCATGACACCTTTAGAATTATACCTAAAATGTATTAAATTATATTAATTGTATTTTTGCAAGTGGAGGTATTTTGCAYAGTGAATAGGTAGTAGAGTGGGAGAAATACGGGTACTAAACCAGAGCTTGTTCACTTGGATGTGCTAAATCACAAATAATCCAAAATATTGATCATTTTGAGTGTGGTAATTTCTCATTTTTCAACTAAAATTTAAATTAATAACAAAAATATGCAAAACGTAATATGGTCAGAAATGAAATATATGAAGTATAATTTTTCATATGTTTTGATAATGATTACAATAGTTATCACAATAACATTTAAAAGGATGCCACACCCACATGTGTTGTCTCTATCGTATAAGTGCGTAGCGTAGCAAACTTTACGCTCAGCAGATCACGTTTATCTTCATTAGCTTAAAATTGAGAGTGAATTGACGTATCGTAAAAATTAAAGGCAAGATTATTATCTAGGGCATCTCATGAGCATTTTATTATATTTTAATTTTAAAGTGAGTTTTGAATATTTTAAAATTGTAAATTATTTATATTTAAAAATACTCATAACTCGCTTTAAAATTAAGATATAATAAAACGCTCATGAGATGCCCAAGACAATAATTTTGCCTTTAATTTTTATGATAGGTCAATTCAATCTCAATTTTAAACTAACAGAAATAAACATGATCTGCTGAGCGTAATATTTGCTATGCCATGCACTTGAATGACGGAGACAACACATGCGGGTGAGGCGTCCTCTTAAGATAATCAAAGATATTACTAATTTTTCAGACAAGACATCAAATATGATAAATAACCAAATAATATTACAAGACCAGATTTATATGTTTTTGGAGTATACCTCACTAATTAATTAAAGGAATGTAGTAAAAAAAATGCATATTAAAGCATATAATAATATTCATTACTAGCTGAACTTGTGCACTTCGTAGCCTATTAAAAATCCTACCTCTTATTTGTCTCAAACGGGAGCGCCATATGAGGGAATGCAAGCCGCAGGGTATACTTTGATTCCCCTATTTTTGCCTATGTCTTATTGGCCTGAACTACAATCTACAATGCYGCCGACAGGGTTCAACAGTTAGTATATAAGCATTCTTCAAGTGGCATGAAATGAAATATTTTTTCTTCATTTAAAAGAGTAAATTCATATCTTAGATCTTCAGACTTCAATAGAAGACGAATAATTTAGCGATTTAATGATCATGCGGTAAAAAAAGAGTATGCTTACAAAATAAATTTAGATGCAACAGTAGATAGATTTTCCAAACGAAAAAGTAGAAGGTAATATATAAGCTATAAAAGCATAATTAATTTAAAAAAACTAATTATGTACATTGTATTATTATTTATTATAATAYGTTAATAAATAGGTATAATATATTTATTATAAACTGCATTGGTTAAATGTTGGTACATATGCTAAATATTTTTAGGTCTATATCAAAAGACAAACAAATTATTAATAAATAATTTGAATTAATTTAAATATATCCTTCAAGAGTTTAACCTGACCTAACYCCATACAAGCCACTTTCACACAAACAATATCTGTATTTACGTACTATTTTGAAAAAAAATTGGCCTACTTAAATTTTGGTACCCCTATTAAAGCACTGAAATGACGTCACTGATCTCAATTCGTGTGTTAAAATCTTTTCCCGAGATTATGCTAGCAGTATATTCTTAAGCATAAAGATATATGCGTGCATATTTAAACACGCAATCTTGGATTCTTTTGAAATGCAATCACTAACTGATGTCATATATACCGATATGGAAAAAGCCTTCGATAGCGTTAATCACTTAATCATAAATTTTTAATAAATAAATTGAAAACGTATGGATTCACTGAACCACTTCTTTCTTGGTTTTATTCTTTCATCTCTGGACGCACCCAAATTGTAAAATATAAAAATTATGTCTCTGAACAAATTCTCGTTACTTCCGGTGTCCCCCAAGGAGACCATTTATCCCCAATATTATTTTGCCTTCTTATAAATGATATATCAGATGTAATTTCTCATTCTAAAATATTAATGTTAGCTGATGATGCAAAAATATTCAAAAATATTAGTTGCACAAARGACGCTATTGAACTACAATTAGATTTAAATAATATGTATAAATGGTGCCAGCAAAATGCTATGCACTTAAATTAAAAAAAAATGTTTCTATATTACATTTTCTTTAAAAAGACAACCTATTCAGTTAAATTATTCGCTGGGTAATATAAATTTATTAAAAKTTTCTACAGTACACGATCTTGGAGTAAAATTTGACTCCAAACTATCTTTTAAGGACCATGTACTTTATATTAGAAATAAAGCGTTGAAAAAGTTAGGTTTTATAAAACGAACATGTCAAAACTTTAGAGATGAATCTGCATTAAAAACATTATACTACTCACATCCGTTCACATTTTGATTATGCACTCCTAATCTGGCATCCATATTTAGAAACG